TCTGCTACCGCACGGCAAGCAGTACCGGAGTGCCAAGTCTAGGTCCAAAAGGCTTCTTAACAGCTTCTACCCCCAAGCCATTAGACTCCTGAACAGCTAATCATGGCTACCCAAACTATTTGCATTGCCCCACCCCAACCCCCTCTTTTACACTGCTGCTACTCTGTTTATTATTTATGCATAGCCACTTTAACTCAACCCACATGTACATATTACCTCAATTACCTCGACTAACCGGTGCCCCCGCACATTGACTCTGTACCGGTACCCCCTGTATATAAGCCTCCCTACTGTTATTACATTTTACTGCTACTCTTTAATTATTTGCTATTTTTTTTTAACTTAATTTTTGGTTAAGGGCTTGTAAGTAAGCATTTCAATGTTGTATTTGGCGCATGTGGCAAATAAAATTTGATTTGATTATGATGCCTCATAATGAGACATAATGATAAATAAGAAACAACTAGTGAACAGTACTTCATTTTGCAACAATACCTTCTTTGTGTAAGGGAGCACAAGAAGCTCCACATTAACACTATCCTTTTGATTGAAATAATTAAGGCCGGGGATGACAACAGCTACAAATTAAAAATCTAGTTAGCTCTGTTGAATTAAGCACAATGGACAACACCACTTATGGTATCCCTGGATAATTGGTATAATAAGCCCAAATGGATTCTAAGTGTTCTGATATGATACGTAAGTGTGATGAGGTGATTTCAAAGGAGTCAGGCGCAGTAGGGTAAATCACAGAATAACAGGATTTATTCTGAAACACAGAGTTACGCAGTAATGCATCACAACCTCCAGTGCGCAAACCAGGCGCTCTGGAAAATACACGGCACACAGGGAAATATCCCGGCGATACAAAATACACGGAGCTCCACCGAGCTTCTCTATCCTCCACAATAAACAATCACACACAAAGACAAGGGGGCAAAGGGAACACTTATACAAGTACTGATGAGTGGATATGAACAAGACAAAACAAATGGAATGATGAGATGAGGAGCGGCAGTGGCTAGAAGGCCGGTGACGACGAACGCCGAAGCCTGCCCGAACAAAGAGAGGTGGCAGCTTCGGAGGAAGTTGTGACAGTAAGAGAAACAATGTAGTATCTAATGGGTGGAAATTACATTCATGATCCACTCAACACTGTCTTTATGCTGTTGGAGCTAATCATGTTTATGAACTATTGTCAATGCCTGTAATAAGGGGATTTAGGCTGGTGAACCCTTACGGAAATACCACATGAATGTCACGTGCACACGTGCTCTCGTGTGAAGGAGTTCCCACATGCTGAGCTTATGTTGGCTGCTTCACTCTGTGGTCCGACTCATCCCAAACCATCTCAATTGGGTGGAGGTCAGGAGATTGTGGACAGCAGGTCATCTGATGCAGCACTCCATCACTTTCCTTCTTGGTAAAATAGCCCTTACACAGCCTGGAGGTGTGTTGGGTCATTGTCCTTTTGAAAAACAAATGATAGTCCCACTAAGCCCAAACCAGATGGGATGGTGTATACCTGCAGAATGCTGTGGTAGCCATGCTGGTTAAGTGTGCCTTGAATTCTAAAGAAAATCACAGACAGTGTCACCAGCAAAGCACCCCCACACCATAACAACTCCTCCTCCGTGCTTTACGGTGGGAAATATACATGCAGAGATCAACCGTTCACCCACACCGCGTCTCACAAAGACACGGCGGTTGGAACCAAAAATCTCAAATTTGGACTCCAGACCAAAAGACACATTTCCACCAGTCTAATGTCCATTGCTCATTTTTCTTGGCCCAAGCAAGTCTCTTCTTCTTATTGGTGTCCTTTAGTAGTGGTTTCTTTGCAGCAATTCGACCATGAAGGCCTGATTCACACAGTCTCCTCTGAACAGTTGATGTTGAGATGTGTCTGTTTACTTGAACTCTGTGAAGCATTTATTTGGGCTGCAATTTCTGAGGCTGGTAACTCTAATGAACTTATCCTCTGCAGCAGAGGTAACTCTGGGTCTTCCATTCCTGTGGCAGTCCTCATGAGAGCCAGTTTTATCATAGCGCTTGATGGTTTTTGCAACTGTACTTGAAGAAACTTTCAAAGTTCTGTATATTTTCCGGATTGACTGACCTTCATGTCTTAAAGTAATGATGGACTGTCGTTTCTCTTTGCTTATTTGAGCTGTTCTTGCCATAATATGGACTTGGCCTTTTACCAAATAGGGCTATCTTCTGTATTCTCCACCTCCAAATCGATCCCGCTCCAGAGTACAGTCCTCGGTGTATCGCTCATTCCTTCGACGATAAACGCGAATACGACCATCACTCCTGGGTGAGACAAAACCGCGACTCGTCAGTGAAGAGCACTTTTTGCCAGTCCTGTTGCCGGTGATGTCTGGTGAGGACCTGCCTTACAACAGGCGTACAAGCCCTCAGTCCAGCCTCTCTCAGCCTATTGCGGACAGTCTGAGCACTGATGGAGGGATTGTGCGTCCCTGGTGTAACTCGGGCAGTTGTTGCCATCCTGTACCTGTCCCGCAGGTGTGATGTTTGGATGTACCGATCCTGTGCAGGTGTTGTTACACGTGGTCTGCTACTGCGAGGACGATCAGCTGTCCATCCTGTCTCCCTGTAGCGCTGTCTTAGGCGTCTCACAGTACGAACATTGCAATTTATTGCCCTGGCCACATCTGCAGTCCTCATGCCTCCTTGCAACATGCCTAAGGCACGTTCACGCAGATGAGCAGGGACCCTGGGCATCTTTCTTTTGGTGTTTTTCAGAGTCATTAGAAAGGCCTCTTTAGTGTCCTAAGTTTTCATAACTGTGACCTTAATTGCCTACCGTCTGTAAGCTGTTAGTGTCTTAACGACCGTTCCACAGGTGCATGTTCATTAATTGTTTATGGTTAATTGAACAAGCATGGGAAAAAGTGTTTAAACCCTTTACAATTAAGATATTTGGATTTTTACTAATTATCTTTGAAAGATAGGGTCCTGAAAAATGGACATTTTCTTTTTTTGAGTTTATATTTTGATTTGTTTAACACTTTTTTGGTTACTACATGATTCCATATGTGTTATTTCATAGTTTTGATGTCTTCGCTATTATTCTACAATGTAAAAAATTGTAAAAATAAAGAAAAACCCTAGAATTAGTAGGTGTGTCATGTCTTTTGACTTGTAGTGTATTTTACCTTATAATCGCTGGAGACAAATGTGAAACCAGTCATATGGCAGCAAACTGAAGCATATCAACATATCAACAAGTTTATGAAATGCTGTGCCATTATGCAGAATTTCTATTGTACGGCCTTTTAACTTGCAGAGATGGGCACTCTCGAATGTCTTAAATATAGGCTACCTATAATGTGAAACGTGAAAATATGTTTTTGGAACACTTCACGTATGACATTTCACGTGAGAATGTGTTTTTGGAACACTTCGCATGTGACATTTCACATGTGAACACGTGTTTTTGAAATGTTTCACATGTGATTTAAGTTTTCAAGCGTGCAATTCAATGTGTTATCACTGTTCAGCAAAAATACAACCCCATCTTGGATATGAATTCCCAACCTCTGGATTAGAGGTAAACTGAGCTTTCTGCTGCGCCACATGCTTAGTACCATTCATTAGCTATAATACATACCGTATCTGCACTTAGCAAATGCGGGCCATCTGCAGTCCTATTTTAGTTATCAGTTATTCTGACTCTTCTCTCATCATTGATTTCATTTACTTACTTCAACAATTTTAGGGTTTTCTGTATAGTTGTCTAATGTTGGTGGGGCATATTATTCTGTTTTAATGTTACTCCTGAATCACTATGATAAATATAATTGTTTTTTCATGAGTGTAGTTTTAACAGGGCTGAGATTTACTTTGAAGTCCAAAGTGTAGGAACACAGCTCAAATCAGTTATTGACACAGACATGGTGGCGTAGCGGAAATATTGGAATGTCATGAACCAAGAGATTGTGAGTTCAAATCCCAGGTAATGACATGTTAAATAATAATTCCTGTATAAACATACACAATGTAGTAATAATAATAATAATAATATGCCATTTAGCAGACGCTTTTATCCAAAGCGACTTACAGTCATGCGTGCATACATTTTTGTGTATGGGTGGTCCCGGGGATCGAACCCACTACCTTGGCGTTACAAGCGCCGTGCTCTACCAGCTGAGCTACAGAGGACCACAGTCTTATGTGTCAGTAGTAAATGCTCTATGTTAAAAGCACTTTATAATAAACAAAGACTGATTCTTGTTTGCCGGTCATCACCTGTGTAACCACACGTGAAGTGTTCTGATTTCACATGTGGAAATGTGAAATCATGTGGTTTTTCTCTAAGGAAAGAATGTTTCAACAGAGAGCTAAATTACATTTCCATTACAATGGCAATCTGTTTATTTAACAATATTATTGTACTTTAACAGACATGTGCAACTGTTGTATTACATTTTAGTCATTTAGCAGATGCTCTAATCCAGAGCAATTTCACAGTAGTGAGTGCATACATTTTCATACTTTTTTAGTACTGGTACCCTGTGAGAATCGAACCCACAACCCTGGCGTTGCACATATAGAGTCTCAGAATCTGTCTATCTGCTTGTGTACATTTTTATAATCTCCCATGACATGCAATGCAATAGAATCACCCTAGTAAGTAACTCTCCATCAAGAGAAATTGGATTAGAATTAATTGACTGTTGTGTATGTATGTCAATACACCATCCATCTGTATGTTTGTAATTTCAATTCCTTATAAATCCATTGCAATATTTTGTAATCCTGTTCTGGGAGGCATGACTTGACTGAGAAACTGAAACACAGCGAAAAGACCTTGCCATGAACGGCAGAGTGAACCAAAGATGTTTCTGAGTCTACCTTTAAATGGTTTTCAGATAGACGAGCTACTGTCCAGATTATTTGTTTTCTGATAAGCACCCCCTAATTTGGTCTCTCCATTTTTTCTTTCTGTATGTTGTCTTTCCAGATACACTAAAATGAAAACCGCAACAAATATCTACATCTTCAACCTGGCCTTGGCTGATGCACTAGCCACCAGTACGCTGCCCTTTCAGAGTGTCAACTTCCTGATGGGGACATGGCCGTTTGGAGACGTGCTGTGCAAGATTGTGATATCCATCGACTACTACAACATGTTCACCAGTATCTTCACCTTGACTACAATGAGTATTGACCGTTACATTGCAGTGTGCCACCCCGTCAAGGCCTTAGACTTCCGCACGCCCCGTAACGCCAAGATTGTCAACGTGTGCAACTGGATCCTGTCCTCTGCCATCGGTCTGCCTGTCATGTTCACCGCCTTAACCACTGTAACCGATAATGGCAAGTATGACAGTACGTTTCACCATGCTGTTTTTATTTTATCCTCAATTATAGGTAGCCTATCTGTAATGTTAGTGAGCATACCACAGCAGCGAGAGTAACAGTTATGTTTGATAGTTAATTTTTTTTCTTTCACCAAATGAAGCACTGTGCTGTTCTACGCATGGTCTATGCACGGAGTCATAGAGAGAAATAGTGTCCCGTTAGCTTTGAAGCGTGTTTTTATTATCATATAATAAAAACACTTTCAGATCCTTTTATTTAGATTTACATGTGACACAAACTCATTAAATATGTTTTGCAAGCGTTCATCCCTAATTGGTATTAATGTAGGCCTCCAACTCTATTCATCAATATTATGCTTTAAAGATGACTAATATGGCCATAGACTAGCAGCTTCCACCATGTATAATCCTCTGAAAGTTCATGCATAATTGCAGTAGTAGTAGTGGGATGGACACTTGTCACCAAAATTGGTGATGGGTGACTCCTGAATTAGGTTTTCAAAGTGCCTGTAAAAATCGTCTTAGCTCTTGTTATTGGTTAGAGGAGAATATATGGTGTTATTTGCAGTCTCATGAAGGAAATATATCTGATGTCATCTTGGGGAATATAAGCAGTCAGCACAAGCTTGTTTAACAAACGAGAACATAGATGACTTTTATGGTTCTCATTTTGAGCAATGCTTCGGAGCCTATATACTGTAGCTTTATCTACCTGTGAAAAAGACTGCTGTGAAGCTTTTTATTTCCTCGTGCTACATTCGTTCAACTGTGTCTTGTACTCAATCTCCACATTTTCAGGAATCATCGACTGCACTTTGATCTTCCCCCACCCGACCTGGTACTGGGAGAATCTTCTGAAGATCTGCGTCTTCATCTTTGCCTTCATCATCCCCGTCCTCATCATCACCGTGTGCTACGGTCTAATGATCTTGCGCCTGAAGAGCGTGCGCATGTTGTCCGGCTCCAAGGAGAAGGACCGCAACCTACGCCGCATCACCCGCATGGTCCTGGTGGTGGTGGCCGTCTTCATCATCTGCTGGACGCCCATCCACATCTACGTCATCATCAAAGCCCTGATCAACATCCCCAACTCCCTGCTGCAGTCCGTCACCTGGCACTTCTGCATCGCGCTGGGCTACACCAACAGCTGCCTGAATCCCGTCCTCTATGCCTTCCTGGACGAGAACTTCAAACGCTGCTTCCGCGAATTCTGCATCCCCTTGAGTCCATCGATGCTGGATCTGCAGAATTCTTCTCGTACCCGCCACCACCACCAGCACCAGCGCGAGCAGCACTCCAGCGCCAACACGGTGGAGAGGTCCAATCAGCAGGTATGACTAGGTATGGAGATGTTGTCTTTAGACTCGCGCTGCCAGCCCAACGACGACATGAGCTCGGAAGTCACCCAGGTAACCACAGTGCTCTGACACAAAGCTCTGCCACTTAATGCGCCGAGATGTTGAAGTGCAACGTGGCACGAGCATCAATTGCACTGTCCCCTCTTTCTGGCAAGGTTGACAAGTATTTTAATGTAGAATAGCGCTCCGCATAAGGCTTTGTGTCAGGTAGCATTATTAAAATGTTTAACTTCGGTCTGAACACTGAAATGAATCAACATCAGCTATTATGTACACAGAAGGCTACCTTTTTAGACTGGTATACTGAACATACTGAAAATTATAAATTGGCCATGTTTAGAAGATATACATTGTTTGTTTACAATTACATTATTGTATGCTTCAAGAGTCAATGGCTATATATAATTAATTTAGAAGTCAGAAAATGGATGTAGCCTACCAATCACAGACTGCAGCTTTAAAGCTATGTATAGCTGCTTTTATATACTATATGATCTGTGCTAAATTGTCATGTATTGTATGTGTATGTGAATTGCCTTTAATGTAGCCCTTTGAAATATCCAAACTGAAAAGGTATTTTCAGATATTGTATTGAATGCTGTTTGTCATTTTTAACAGGGCTTGGCAGACAATTTGCTCAGCTGCAAAATGTTCCATCAACATGATAATGCTGCTTTAGCAACGTCACGTGACTTAAATACTTATTGATATTTAAAACGGATATATTACAGTGCTTGCAAGTTTACAGCGATAAAGTCCTAACCATTGGGTTGTGGCAGACCTGGGTTCAAATACATGCTTAATTAAAGACATGCTCCAGAACATTGGTGACTAATAAGTATTTTTTAAATCTCCCACTTTGGGCTGGATTTGTCAATGTGTAGTTCATAAATGCATAATCTATCATCTATGAGCAGAATTACTGTTTTACCTCAATTAGCCACGAAACCCCTAGTTTGAAAGGGACTATTTTCTGGAAGCTATGCTGCGCCTTGTTCCCTACATTTTCCCCCACATGGGCCAGCCTCCTAGCATTTCAAGTTTCAGCCAATGAGCTTCAACCCCTCACCATATGAGTGACAGCTAGCAAGATGCATGTGATTCACCCACAGCAGAGCAGAGGGAAAGAGCAATGACGTGGTGCACAGAACTGCACATATGTGACGTAGAATGTAATTTTCGGAAACCAGTTTTGGCTCATGAGAGCTACTTTCAAAAGTACTTGCTAAAAAGTATACAAAAGTACTGGAGAATCTCTTTTTAAGTATTTGTATTTTAAATACTTACACTGAATAAAAATATAAACACAACACGTAAAGTGTTGGTCCCATGTTTCATGAGCTGAAATGAAAGATCCCAGAAATGTTCCATATGCACAAAAAGCTTATTTCTCTCAAATGTTGTGCACAAATTTGTTTACATCCATGTTAGTGAGCATTTCTCCTTTGCCAAGATTATCCATCCACCTGACAGGTGTGGCATATCAAGAAGCTGATTAAACAGCATGATCAGTACACAGGTGCACCTTGTGCTGGGGACAATAAAAGGCCACTCTAAAATATGCAGTTTTGTCACACAACACAATGCCACAGATGTCTCAAGTTTTGAGGGAGTGTGCAATTGGCATGCTGACTGCAGGAATGTCCACCAGAGCTGTTGCCAGATAATTTAATATTCATTTCTCTACCATAAGCCGCCTCAAACTTTGTTTTAGAGAATTTGGCAGTAGGTCCAACCGGCCTGAGAACCGCAGACCACGTGTATGGCGTCGTGTGGGCGTGCGGTTTGCTGATGTCAACGATGTAAAAAAGTGCCCCATGGTGGCGGTGGGGTTATGGTATGGGCAGGCATAAGCTACGGACAACAAACACAATTGCATTTTATCAATGGCAATTTAAATGCAAAGAGATACCGTGACGAGATCATGAGGCCCATTGTCGTGCCATTCATCCACGGGCATCACCTCATGTTTCAGCATGATAATGCACGGACCATGTCGCAAGGATCTGTACACAATACCTGGAAGCTGAAAATGTCCCAGTTCTTCTATGGCCTGCATACTCACCAGACATGTCAGCCATTGAGCATGTTTGGGATGTTCTGGATCGACGTGTATAACAGCGTGTTCCAGTTCCCGCCAATATCCAGAAACTTCGCACAGCCATTGAAGAGGAGTGGGACAACAATCCATAGGCCACAATCAACAGCCTGATCAACTCTATGCGAAGGAGATGTCACGCTGAATGAGGCAAATCGTGGTCACACCAGATACTGACTGGTTTTCTGATCCATGCCCCTACCTTTTTTTAAAGGTAACTGTGACCAACAGATGCATATTTGTATTCCCAGTCATGTGAAATCCATAGATTATGGCCTAATTAATTTATTTGAATTTCCTGATTTCCTTATATGAACTGTAATTCAGTCAAATCTTTGAAATTGTTGCATGTTGCGTTTATATTTTTGTTCAGTATATTTTTTGTGTATTTGAGTATTTTTAAATAACTTCTATTTGAAAAAACAACCAATATTTACTTCGAAATGTATGTGAAAGTAATTGAAATCCTTAAATAGCATTTGGACCCAGGACGAAACTAGATGTACTTGCTTGATATATTTATATATTATAATATTTGCTTTTTATGTCAGTCCGTTCAATGATTTTAGAAAGTATATGTAGATAGGGATGCCATCAGGCTTTGTCAGCTTTATATTATGGTATAAGTTTCAAGTTGTATATTATGGTATTATTATGCCTGTGTCTCTTTTCAGGGATAAGACAATATACTGTACCATAGACTAACATGTAACTTTGTATTGTAAAATTGACATAATTTTTCTGTATTAACAATTCTGTAATCACAAACGCTTTTACAAAATCCCTGATATGTCTTAAAACGGTGGATGCTTTTAATGTTACCATGGTGAACATTGTATGGTGTGTACTTTCTAAATGATTGTTGTAAATTTGAAACTGATTATGTGATTTTCACTCATATCTAAAATGATAAATATGCATGATACTACATTTGACATAGTTGTTAATCAGCAAATGTTGTTTTTCCAAATATACTTAAATTCAGAATTTTTACGTATCCTGAATGTTTTTGTAAGTAGTCAAATAAACCATTATCTATCAAACACTGTAATGAATATTAATCTTACCTTTATCACATTATTGAATCTATGTGTAGCCTATTTGTTGCTACCATTTTATCCAACAAATGTTCAATAGACCTCCACACCTCTCTCTATAATGTAGCAAAAAGGTTTTGGTTGAGATGCACTGCATCAAACACTTTAGATCTCATATGAATGACAAATCAGTTTTCCCCATTCGATCCACTTATCATGTCAAAGCTGTCAAAGCATTTGACATTGTGACTTGGTATCACATTCAGTATCAACAGGCCAGTGTGTCATGCATGTTTTATGCATAAAGGCAATTTGAAACAGAGTTTTGTAATGTAAGAATTAATGATGCAGAGTATAGCGTTGTGTGTGATGTCAGTCTCTCCTCTTCCCTTCCATTACAGGAGAGCTAGCCTGGAAACAAAACAAAGCCCAAAAAGCAGCAGCTGTTTTCAGTTATTGCCAGGCTGTTTATTACCCGACATGGGACCACCGGCTGTAGAGGGGCTATAATTTGATTCTGTAATACTTTGAAATCAAATATTTAATGCCTATTGTACACTGTTCACTAGTCTCTCTCTCTCTCTGTCTGTCTGTCTCTGTCTCTGTCTCTGTCTCTGTCTCTGTCTCTCTATTGTTTCTGACATGCTACAGTGGGGAAAAAAAGTATTTAGTCAGCCACCAATATTGCAAGTTCTCCCACTTAAAAAGATGAGAGGCCTGTAATTTTCATCATAGGTACACGTCAACTATGACAGACAAATTGAGAGAAAAAAAATCCAGAAAATCACATTGTAGGATTTTTTATGAATTTATTTGCAAATGATGGTGGAAAATAAGTATTTGGTCACCTACAAACAAGCAAGATTTTTCTATGTGCCCTTGGAGACTAAATAAACTTCTGGCAAACTTCTGGAGTTCTGGCATTATTTGTCTTGCTCTCAGCCTCATATATTTCATTACTATGGCAACACAGCCCCATCACAAAACTACACACTGTGAGAATCCCAAAAACATGAACACTTACCAAAAAAACACATTGAATGAGCAACACAGGCCCCTCTCTCTCATTGTAATTGGATAGTCTATTTTCAGATAAGCATTCACGGCCTTCAATAGATTCATGTAATGTTTATATACAGTACCAGTCAAAGGTTTGGACACACCTACTCATTCAAGGGTTTTTCTTTATTTTTACTATTTTCTACATTGTAGAAAAATAGTGAAGACATCAAAACTATGAAATAACACATATGGAATCATGTAGTAACCAAAAAATTGTTAAACAAATCAAAATATATTTTATATTTGAGATTCTTCAAAGTAGCCACCCTTTGCCTTGATGACAGCTTTGCACACTCTTGGCATATACAGTGGGGGAAAAAAGTATTTAGTCAGCCACCAATTGTGCAAGTTCTCCCACTTAAAAAGATGAGAGAGGCCTGTAATTTTCATCATAAGTACACGTCAACTATGACAGACAAATTGAGATTTTTTTTCCAGAAAATCACATTGTAGGATTTTTTATGAATTTATTTGCAAATGATGGTGGAAAATAAGTATTTGGTCACCTACAAACAAGCAAGATTTCTGGCTCTCACAGACCTGTAACTTCTTCTTTAAGAGGCTCCTCTGTCCTCCACTCGTTACCTGTATTAATGGCACCTGTTTGAACTTGTTATCAGTATAAAAGACACCTGTCCACAACCTCAAACAGTCACACTCCAAACTCCACTATGGCCAAGACCAAAGAGCTGTCAAAGGACACCAGAAACAAAATTGTAGACCTGCACCAGGCTGGGAAGACTGAATCTGCAATAGGTAAGCAGCTTGGTTTGAAGAAATCA